CCCGAGTCTCAGAAACCTCGTGGCTCACCGGTGCTGGGGTCTGTAGGGCTTTCTCCTCCCTCCGAGTCATCCTGATCCTCCACGTTGGGATCCTCTCCTTGCTCGATGCGCGACAGGAGGTCAGGCTTCGAAATGGCAGCGTCTGCACGTGAAAAAAAAAAAAAAAAAAAAAAAAAAAAAAAAAAAAAAGAGGGTGAGGACGTTTCCTTCGCCCTCGCGGGAGGGAGGCTCTCCGACCTTCGCCCACCAACCTTCCTTCGCTGCGGGGGGCGACGGGTAACGGAAAGAGAGGCTTAAGATGCTCTCACACATCTGCAGCGCTCACCTGGTCTGGGCCCTGGGAACATGAGCGGACTGCAGGAGCACACTCTGCTCAGGTGAGGAGCACCTCCCAGCCTGCAGCGTGAGGAGGAGAATAAGAAAATGCATCTGTGCTTACCTCCAGGCTTCCTTTCTTCTCCTCTCTGCTAAGGTCCGCGGATCCATTACAATGGGGACTTCAGCTCGGGGACACCACCAGAGCTGTCAGCCAGCGGCAGCAGGGGAAGTGCCCTCCCCATGCGGTTCCCTCCAGCCAGGACCGCTCCGTCCTACTCGTCCGAGTCACAGGCTGCTTGCGGATTTTGGTGGGGGAAAGGGGACAATCACAATCTCTCCTAGGGTGGAGAGTGCAAAACTTCATTTCCAAACAAGTGAGAGTCTCTGGGTGTTAATTTCCACCGCTGCTCTGGTGGATCCGTTTGCCTTACACGAGGGCCAAACCCCTAAACCTCATCGCTCAAAGGAAACCTTCAGATGAAGCACAGATACATTTTTCTAAGCTCCAGGCTCAGATCCACAGGTCCCCTTCAGCGGGACCGACACGTTCCTGCGCCTCTAGAGCGGGACACAGGACTGGTTTTGAAAGAGGAGAACGGGGGACAGGGTTTATCCTTCACCTTTTCCCCCTACACACAAGGGCTGTGGAAGACCTCTGCTCGAAAAAATAAAGGAGAACAACAAAAAAAAAAAATAATGAAGGCCAAAAGGCCTGGATCCCCCCGAGCGGGACGGCAGGTGGGCCTGCACACCAGGGGCCTCAGCACAGGGAGGGCACTCCCGTAAGGGCTGCGCGGGCGTCCGGCCGAGGCGAGGTCATTTCCCGGCTCACACGCGCAGGCGACGCGTCCCCCAGCGGGGATCCCCGCGGCCGGGGCCGGCGGGAGCGAGCGGAGCGCGTTTGTTGGGCCGTGAATGCGCCGCCCTGAGCGGGAAAGCGCGCCCGCTGCTCCTCCCCAGGAGCAGAGAACGCGCCGGACGCCTTCCCTGGGATGAGGCTGGGGTCGGAGAGAGCCCTGAGCTGGCCAGCCTCACCCTCCTCCTCCCTTCGGAAAGGCTCTGCAGCGGAAGGACGGATCCCCCGCAGGGAGGGCTGGAAGGAACCTCAGAGGCAGGGCACCCCCCTGCTGCCCTAAGCGGCGAGCGGGCTGATGCCCCCAGCGCAGTGGATCTGTGGACCTTCGCGCGGCCAA